GGGGGGGGGGGGGGGGGTACTCATAGTCGTGCATGCCGTAGTCGTTAGACCATTGACCTCGCATCCCTACAAAGCCGGGACGGAGCACGCCGGGTTCTCACCGGACCAGGCTCTCACATCACCAAGCGCGAAGCGCCGTGAGGTATTCGGCGAGTCGCATGAAGGGTGCGCGGTATCCTGCTAAGGGTGTTCGGCATCTTGTGCTTACTTCCTTGCGTACGGATGACAGCTGCGTATGACTTAATTTATTTTCTGGTGCGTTCACTTCCAGAGACAGCTATAAACACTGTGTAACTGCCTCGAGGGTGTTTGACCAATTTAACACAGCGTGCGATTATCCCCTTTGCGCGGAGTGAGGGTTCTCCACCCCGCACAACATAATCTACTCGACCACCATTCATGGTTACCGCAAAAAAAAAAACAAAGGCAAAAAAAAAAGCGGCAACCTGGTCGCCGAGCTCACGAAGTGAATCGGCTTGTTTTACAACATCGCTGCCAAGCGATGAAAACCCAACCCCGATGGCAAACACCGGGGGGGGCGGCTTGTTTTACAATGTCGTTGCCAAGCGACGAAAACCCAACCCCGATGGCAAACACCGAGGGGGGGGGGGCGGGGGGGGGCGTACTCTTATGTTTTGCATGTCTTAACGGTTAAACCATTGACCACCCGTCCTCCAAAGGACGGAGCATTGTTCCCACGGGACCGATCACAGGGGGGGGATCACAGCCGACGTTTTTGTGTACGATACGTTCACATGTAGCCCTTCGTTCCGGCGCCCACGTGTGCCCACGTTTTGCTGCGGTTGCTCCCGGCCCCTTGTCACAGGAGAAAACGCGGCATCTCATAGAATATACTCCGCCTCGCTGCAACTCTTCCTCGACACCCGGTTCGGGAACGGGGGGCAAGGGCGAACGACCCCGTGTACATCGTCTGCGCCAGGAGACGAGCGACCCTCGGAAAAACCGGCCCGTTCCAGCAGGAGCACCGCGATGGCGACCTCTGCCCAACTACATCGCCCTCTCTCACCGGAACTGAAACAATTTTTTCCCATATGTTTTTCCTGAACACAACGCAAGTCCGCATCAACAAAACTACTACCTCAGCAGCACGACGACGAAACCAAAAACGAAGGGGGTTCCTCGTACTTGTTCAACTTCTTCAACCGGTGTATTCGATTCTTGCACCAGCAAGCAAGGGCACCACCACAGCAGCAGCACCAGCGACAGAAGACAGCAGCGCTTCAGAACCAAGCGAATTGTTTGGTGTACACGGCGGTTGCGGTATGACAACACGAAGCCTCTCGGGGTTGGCATATATAGTGTGATCCGACGAGTAGGGCGTTACGGAGTCCCCTGCGCCCTGGGCTCTTTAGCCCACCTCTGCATGAGGCTCTGCGCATGTATGTATGTCAACAACTGATGCTCTGATTAATAGAAGCACGTCTACATATCTCCAAACGGATCGGGCGTTAAAGTCGGGTCAACCGCCAACACACAAACACGAGTTCTTGCACCGAACAGAGCCGGTGTGTTCAGACAACGGGCTAAATAGGAGGAACGTGCCGACCGGCCTCACCGGGTACTTGGTGTCCAGCTCGTCGTCCGCCTGGCGCGCCCACGGCAGATCGTCGTCGCTGCATCCCATCGGGAACCCGTTGTACCCGATGCCCACGATGCGCTTGTCTTCGTTTACGATACTGTCGTCGTCGTCGTCGTCGTCGTTGACCGCATTGCCGTTGGTGTCGAAACGAAAGTGTCGAGTTGCAGGTCGAAGAAGAACAACCAGAAGCATCGAACGCACGCGAAAGTGTTACATCATACTCCCATGTGAGGGGTTTGTATCGGGCCACGAGCAGGGAGCGGCGATGTGGGGGCGGCAGCAGGGGCAAACCTCACCGTTCTCAATCCTTCAGCTCAGAAAGAGGGGCAAACCACGTGGTTGCAGCGAGGAAGAGGGTCCACGGGAGGAGATACATGGGACGAACGCGGTGCGGGCTCCCGAAAAACAAGCCTCTGGCGTTGCTGGAAACTCCTGATCATGCAACGCAATCTGCAAAAAACGCAGATAATAGCACTAAAAAAACGCTCACGAGTAAACCATACACTAGTGGCACACACCACCGTAACACAAACCACCCTTTTAATTGGTGATGGTGTGTTGACAACGGCGGGTACTTGCCACTACCAGCCGCGAGATCACCCCGCCAACTCACCAAGCTCCGACCTGGGTAGACGGATCCTTCGACCGCATCGCGCTGAGAAACGCGACCGACATGAAGTAGTCATCCCACACCAGGTAATCAGTCCTCTTCTGCGTCCGGCCGCCGCCGCCGCCGCCGCCGCCGCCGGCGACGCCTCCCGCCGCACCGCCCCCTCCCTCCTCCGCCTCCTTACCAGCCGGTATCCCCGCCCGCCCACCGTTGGTCTCTGCTGCCGCGGTCGGCAACGCGGCGTCCGCAAGGGGAGCATGCCGGAGGCGTTTTGCTGCTGGATGCAGTAAATGGCGTCGTCGTCGTCGGCGGCGGCAGCGGGGTCCCCGTGGAGGGAGTGGGGTGGTCACGTGTGTAGAAAGCGACGGCGGCGTTTGCGGTGAAGGTGGGAGGAACACATATCGTTCTGGGTCATTGGGGTGTTGGTTGGGCCTAGTAGGCCCGTCCATGCTGAAGCGCCTTCAGCTACATAAGGCAATTCTCAACGTACCCGGGCTGTGCAGTTTTCCCACTGACTGCTGCTGTGCCGCACAACTCTGTCCCTACACTGCGTACCAAACCGCCTCGGAGCAGCAAGTGCGCCGTTCTTCAAAATGTTATTGGTCCCCCGACTGCTTCTGACCTGGCCTTAACGCCACTGCTGTCCGCTATACACGTTTCCCGTCTCTACCAAGCGTATACGGCGGGCGAGCTTTACCTCTGTTCCCCTGGACGGGGGGGGTGGCGCCTCGAGATGGCTTGACAGAATCGCGGACAATGATCCCCCCGCTGGGTACAGTAGTACGTGATGCCGGACGCGGCACCTCGTCTTCGGTGGCGTCGGCGTTGGAGCTGGCCGTGGCCGTGGGGACGGCTTGCACTTCTTCTTCGTCGCGCTTGAACGCACCGAGCAACATCAGAGGCACCAGCAGCAGCAGCAGCGGAGAGCAGAATGCCAAGCTTGGTAAGAAGGAGGAATGGCTGTAGATGTTGGTATTAGATGCGACAATTACAAAACAACATTCCGCCGCCCTTGCAGCGAATGCATCACGTCTCGTGTCGCTTTGGAGCTGCACACCTCCTCTGAATGTTACGATCTGCATCTACGCACCACGAGGCACGCCATCGTTGGTGAGGGACGCGTCGGGCGCCACGCTCTGCGCACCTCCAAACATTCTACACATCCCCTACACTCTGTACTGCTGTTGTAAACAACTGCCGCTGTTGTCTACATGCTCAGATGCGGTTCAGCTGAATGCATCCGTCTATTTATAGCACGAAATTCAAAAATTCAAACAACTGGCGGAATCTTGCGGACTTGGTTTGGGACAGAGCTCGTGTTTCAGTACGCTGTTGCTGCTGCGACTGCTCAGGCTACAAACCGAACAACCGTAACATCTGGCTTGTAGGTTACGACCCATATCGTGTCGCGGGTGGGACACCCGCGTAAGCGAGAGCCGCATATCTACAGCACTGCTGTATGTACCTGTGGACAAAGCGGCTTTGGTGCCGGGACGGCCGCGTACACCAAGCTGTGTGTATCGTATCGGGAGAAGCAGGACAGCCTTGCCGTGAGGTGTGCCTTCTCTTAGTAGGGGAAACGTCTGCACTCACCCCACTCATGGTCCGCCCGGCGCGCGCCTGCGGGAGGCAGTGCCCTTGGGAACAGAGCGCACCTCCAGCGACCCCAGCAATGCCACGGCCGCTGTCGATCCGCAAGTCACAAGATGATGATGATGATGATGAGCAGCAGACGGACACCGACAGCAGAACCAGCAGCCCGCGCAATAAACTCGCAGAGGGAAGTAGAGAAGAAGGCGTAGCTGCAGTGGGCTGGGGCTTTCTTTCGACCATCCAGGCGAGACCAACACACCAACTCGTTGAAGGCACACCACACCGGCGCTGCGCCCAACAAGCCAACACAAGGCCAGCAACCCACGAAAGAGCCAGAATGACACCCCCCCGCCCTCTACCGTCTGTTGAACCCCCTCTGCCGCCTGTGATGCAAGAGAGATGAATTAATTCGGCCCGCGCTATGCCACAGCTTTTTTAATTACCGCACGCATCGCCTGCTCCGGCGTACGCGAACGAGGAGAGGGGGGGTCGACATCACACTCGGGCTTGGGGCACGCGAGGCGCAGGCGGGTTGCTGCTTATATAGGAAGGGCCGCGACGGTGAAAGATCGGGTGGAGCCACTACGGCAGGACCAAACCAAAACTCGGAAAGGTTAGTTCTTTGTCATGTTTGCCGCCTCTTTTTGCTCCGCTCGATCTCTCACGGCACTGCCCTCTCCGCCCTCATTGTATGGTGGTGACGAGCCCCAGAGGCCCTGTGCTCGTTCCGCAAGGTTCGGCAGAGCTCACGGCGTAGAGAGTTCCGGATCCCAAGGTTTCGGATCCCGCCCTTCTAACGGATCGCAAAGTCAAATGTGTGTACGTGGTTGTTTGTTTTTTGCCGTGGTTATTACCGTCCGTGGGTGATGCAGCCACCGACTCTTTGTTGTCGGGCGGGGTAAGCGCGCAGCCGATGTAGCTAGCCGGGCACGCTTCGGTGGACAGCCCGGCGGGTTCGCCTCGCCTTGGCTTGCACAACAAATGGCGCTCTACCGAGCTCTCCGCAACAAAAACGAGCATCCAATCCAGTCCGATCCACAGCAAGGTCACTTTGGCATATTATTCCCGAAAGTATGAAAATCGAGTTGTGAAAGAATTTTCCTCGTGTTTGGTGGTGGTGCTGGACAACCACCACCATACCCAACATCCACATGAGTGCGTTTGCGAACGAACGGATTGCTTGCTGGTCAACGGCTCCTCCCACTCGCAGCTTGCTGCGCACTTAAAAAAAATGAAGCACCACGCCGCAAGCCCCAATGTATAGATGACCGTCTACTGTCTGACCCTACAATCTCGAAGAGGTCTTCTTGTTCCATCGAGATTGTAAAAAGTTGACCATGGTGTGTGGTGTGGCGGTGGTGGTCTTGGACGGAAGAATCAAGAATCGATTATGGACCCACCAATTTTCTTCTTTTTTTAAAGAAATACATACGCTGCCCGGTGTAGAGAGTGTACGTGCTGTACTGCTGTACGCACATGTCTGCGAAGCGATTGGATGTGCAAGGGGGACGCAAACAAACACGGAATGCGCCACCCTCTTTCTTGCCCCGTGTCGGACTTGACGTTCCCATCCATCCATCGTGTGCAGACCCTGCGTGAAACAAAAGAAGCCTGTTTGCCGCCCGATACCAGCAGCAGCGCGCGAGAGGAGGCTATGATACAACCCAGCACCGATATTAGATGCACATTCACCCGCTTGTCCAGCACAGCAACACACCACCCTGCCCTGCTCTCAGGGGTGTTAACACCAACTACTTGTGAAGAATAACAGCAGTGTAACGGTTTCGGACGAGAGGCATACCCCCGCTGTGGCCGGCGGCGGCCGTGATGATGAGATGCGATATTTTGCTGTCTGTAGTTGTGCCGCTACGTCGTGAATCGACTTGTTTTGCGCAACAATAATGGCGGTTGCCTCGCAGTCCGTTGATTGAGCATATGCACGCCATATTATGGCATCACAAGCGCTTGCAAGACTACTCAGCAGGTTACTGCCCGCTCGCATTCGAATGGCTGGCGAAGGGGACTCTAGAAGTCATATTGTATATAGAGCCGGTGACGATCCTTTGTTCTCTTTGTCCTCTCTGCTGTCTGCTGTCATGGAATTCTTGATACTGAATGCTCATCTTTTCATGCGCAGACCACGCTGGCAAAGAAGTGCACATGCATATATGTATCACGCAGGGTCTTCTGCCTCGCCTTGTTTTTTTGTTTGTTTCCTGTTGTCGTCGTCTTGACGTGAACGTTCTTTCTCTTCTATGCATACACACTGTTGTAGTACTGCCACACATCGCGGACAACCACATGCTGTCCGCTGTACGGGTTTGATAGCACTCTCTACCGCCTCTCTTGAGGGCTTGAAGAAGTGGATTATGTTGTCCTCAGAGATCGGCAGATAAGAAAATGCGAAGTACTTTTAAGAACTACTATGAGAATCAGGAGGGACGCGACAGTCCCGAAGGAATAAGAATTTGCCTGTTAAGGGGGTGCAGAAAAGCCTGGGAAAAATACCCCTCGGAACCGGAACAAAAAAATACATGAAACCGAAAAATTTATGCGTTATTGGGGGGGCGACGTACAAAGGGTGAAAGCACGTACTGTAGGTTCAAAGGGGTTGTCCTATATACAGCCAGGCACGGCGCCTACAGCCGCGACAAGGAACAATGGACGACTTCGGCTGGTCCTTCGACCCAAAATAAGCGACTGAGGCTCGACCCGATTTGAAGTTACTTAGTCGTGGGCGCTATCTGTACTAGCGAGGAATAACCCTACGCACAACACAACACGACCCCGACGATGATGATGATGATGATCTTCGTCCGTCCGTATCCATCCCTCGTCCCAACAAAAACCAGGCACACGGCAACAGGAAGACGGAGGGAGGGAGTGTCCTCCACAGGAAAAAGTTCCGACAAGAGAGAGAGGAGAGAGAGAGAAGGAGAGAAAGCATAGGGAGGAGAGCCAGCGTTATGGCAATGCCGACCTCGGTCGAGTGTTCACGCCCCACCACCACCGCCACCGCCGCCGCCGACGAAGGCGGCTCCGCCTCCTGCAAGATGAATAAGAAGCGGCGACGAAGACGGTGCTTTTCTGTGTCTCTAGAGCAGCAGGCCGTGCCGGCCCCGCCGCCGTCGTCCGCCGTCCGCCCCGCCCACGCCGACCCCGGAACCTTGGCGGCAGCCGCTGGGCGGGTGGCGGCGCCAGCACCGGTCACGACAACAACGCCGCCGGCTAGCGGCGACAGGGTTTCAGGCGCGTTCGGGGGGCGGCGTTCTTCTTCTTTCCGGTCGGCCGGGTGTCGGCGACCGCAGCACGATCACACCGCCGGAGCAGCGGCAGCGTTAGCAGCGGCAGCGGGCGTGCTGGGAAGGGCGGCGACGTCGTTTGCGGCGGCGGGCGTGCTGGCAGCGGCGGCGGTGGCCTCCGCGCCCGTGGGCGTCGGGGCGCTCGTGACGGATAGCCAGTGCAAGGTGGCGACCCTTCGGGGGACGGAGGCCGACCTGGGGGACTCGCCTAGGCTGGACACGTCGACGGAGGCTGCGGCCGCGGGGGTCGACCAAGCCATCGTTGCCACGAATGTGCGTGTTGCGTGCGTGCGTGTGTCTTATTGCATCGACCCCGTCCACCGGCGGCTGACCAATGAAAAGACGCCAATCTCAGAGCAGTTGAAACATGTGTGTGTGTGTGTGTGTGAGTTTTGGGCGGCTGGCATTTTGCACCCGGGGTTGACAAGGGGCGTTTTTCATCGTGCTTCTGTTGCGACCTCTCGACGAAGTTGTCATTCGCCTACAAGTAGATGGACATGTATTTGGTGTACAGTACCACCCTCGCAGAACAACGGTCGACCTTTCCGCTTCAAGCCCCCCTCCCGCTCTCCCTCCCTCTCGTAGGCAGGACCAGGCGTCCGAGTCGTTCCTTAACCCCCAACCGTCTTGCCTTTTCGCCCTCCTGTGTGTACATAATGATGGGGGGCGTTTTTTTCCTCCTGTCTGCAGGCGACGTACGATAGGATGGTGTTGGACCAGCTGCAGATCACCATCCTGGAGGAAGGCCGCGACGTCAAGTTTCGGAACCTGTGGTCGGATCATGTCTGGAAAAACACGGCACGGGTGAGAGAGGATAAGTTGGACTGCTGGGGAGGGCGGTGTGGGGTGGTAGCGTAACGGCTGGAGATTGAAGGACGAGTCCTAGCGTGTGAGGGTGTGGAGTGTTCGCAGCGTCGCGGGGTCTGATGAAACGCCGAAGGCCCATGTTAGTTGAGGAGACTGAAGAATGAATACCGTGAAGCGTCAGAGGTTTGTTGTTGTTGTTGTTGTCGAAGAAGCCTCTCGCCTAGAAAGTTTCTCTACCAGCGTAAGTGTTTGCCATTCCCAAACGGTTGAATCGACGACTCGATCGAATGAAGTTCGCGTTCTCACCGAAGGCGTTTCTTCAGTTTTTTGCGTAGACTCGGCTCTCGGACAGATTTGACAAGACAACACCAATGAATCCCCCGCCTGACCTGCACGGATGGCAGTGCTCATTCATCACAGCCAACCCCTATCAAGCACTCGACAGTACGCATGACTCTTTGGGCCAGCGCTGTTGGAGCTATGCTATACGAAGGCGCTATTCCCTTCTGCGACGGGGGCGGCAAGAATAAACAAACCCTGCTGTAGATAATAGGGGTTGACTCGATTGACGTTTGCGTTGCGGGGTTGCGCTTGTTTGTGTTCCCTCCTGCCTGCCCAGATGACCTTCCCGGGAGCCGACGTGCTGGTTCTCTTGGAGGAGGGCTCTCCGGCGGAGTTCATCTGCATGAACGAGCACTACGGCCTGTCCTTCGAGAAGGGAGAGGCGGGCGAAACCTACGCGGACGGCGAGCTTACCTCCGACAAGGTGTGTGTTAAGCTTACACGGGGAGGAAGGGAAGCATTGAGCGTGCACTCACTCCTGTTTGGTGCGAGTGTTTGGTGCATGTTGTGAGCAACCGCTATCTCTATACAGCTATCCTCACTCGCCTACGTGTCCGGCACTCTCAAGCACCAATCAACCTGTGAGGTTTCAGTCCGAACGATACACCGCTGAAGAATGCGATCAGGCTGACAAGCCGGCGTTAATCGCGGTTTCTCGAAGCCGTAGGTAACCGACAAACTCTGTGTCGTTCGTTGGAATTGGTGGCGGGCGGGGGGGAGTCGGACGGGGGTCGGAGGGGGTGTACTCATAGTCGTGCATGCCGTAGTCGTGAGACCGGGAGTCGGACGGGGGTATATTAATTGACCTCGGGGAGAGGGGGAGCTTCGCTTGCCTTCGCGGTCATGTGGTGACGTTCTTATACCATACATACATGGAAGCAACTTGATCGTACCATACCGACCCCACGCGTGGCACGGGACGTTTCTCGTCGTCGCGCATCTTACCACCGGCCTACCGGTTGGTGCATTCGATTAGAACACCATGAGAACGACACACCCACTACGGTACAATTGCCTAGGAAACATGTTTGCGTTTTTCCATCCCTCTAGAATGTGTCTGACGTTTTGTCATCGATCTACCGGTGGGCGCGGTCGATGCTATTTCATTCAGCGGTCTACGCCAACTCAAGAAACACACACACACACACCGTCCGTGAAATCGTAAGGTGCTGAACTGGAGCTTGCTAGGCGCCGACTACCTGGCCCTGGACGGCGTAAGCTCCTTCACCCCCACGGAAGCTTCGACGCTGCCGTCAACCACCTTCCTTGCGGCTGCACGCGAGCCGGATGTGAGCGAGGAGCTCACCCCGGACTTTCATTATTTCCTAGCAGGTGAAATGTGCTTTCCTCCGTGTGGTTACGTGAATCACTTATTTGCACATACGGTTGTGATGTGTGTTTTTTTTTTTTGGGGGGGGGAGGGGGGAAGACCTTAACCGGGAGGGAGCCTGCAAGCTGCTGCTGCTGCTGCTGTGCTGTGCCACATTTTGTTTTTCTAGCATGTTTTTTTCTTGTCAGGTTTTGGTGTTGGTCGTCTTCTTTGGGACAGCCGGTCAAGTCGTGGTCCATATATATGGATAGGAAAGCGTGCAGAGGCCCGCACACACTTGTGTGGGTACCGAACGAAACGCCTCACGTCACAAGTCGGAGACACATTTTCATATTTTCGCAGACGACAACGAAAATACGTCTTGCGCTAACGCTGTGAATCCATTGCTAATTTATCCCGGACGCTTCTTGTCCCGTGGATCCGTGAATAGTGAAAAGAGACGGATTCATTCGCGGTTTTTATGTGAAGCAAAAAAACAATGAAAGTTCACCTTTTTTTTTTGCGTGTCCTCGGCGTCCGCCGTCGGTGGTGTTCTGTTTTTTCTGTTGAACCTTGATACCCCGGGCACTTCGTAGGTGGGGGCCACCGTATGCTGTCTGTCCCGTTGCGTTTCACCCAGGAGCAAGAGGCAGGAAAGGTTAATCAGACCTTGTCCCCGGCGGTTTTTTTTACACACCTTGGTTGTTGAGAACAGAACTACAATCGCCCCCCCTAAACGCGAACCCCACCGCCTCCCCCTTGTTTTCGTCGACTGCACGCTATTATATGTACGGTGAATGCTGTATCACCCCACGATTGGGCCAACAAACCAACCGACCAATCAGAACCCGCCGAAGACATGGACCCGTCCGCCTGCCCGGAGCCCTGCTCCGAGCAAGTCGTGACGTACTACTGGTCCTCGACCGCGGGCACGGTGTACCAGCTGGACATGGCGGACGTTTCTGCGGAGCCCCCTCCGTGCTGGCTGGGCCTCTTCCAGGCCGTGGCGGACGGGCCCCCCGCGGAAGGCGTCGACCCTGCGGTGTGGGAGGCGACGGTAACCTGCACGGCAGGGCTCCTCCAGGCGGTGGAGGAATCCATGGTGAGCGGCGTCAGCGCCAGCAGCAGCGGTGGTGCCGGTAGCGGTAGCGGCGGCGGCACGGCGGTGGCGGCTGCCGTGCTGGTCCCGGCGCTGCTGGTAAGCTTCGTGTTGCTGGCCTTTGGGTTCTTCCGGCACCAGAAGGGACGGTGGCTCAGGAAGATTAGGACCACCGACGAGGCCTGGGGGGAAGAGCTGGACGGCAACGGCAAGGGGAAGGCCCCCCGCCCGCCCACGGGCAAGTTTAAGCTAGGGATCGACGGCGGTGTAGCGGTGGCGGCTTCGCGCGCGCCTTCGGCCGTGGCGGCGGGCGCGGATAGGCTCAAGGCGTCCCACGCCCCCCAGCGGGTGTTCACGGACGTGAGCATCGATGAGGGAGAGGCACCGGCGGGGGGGATGGCAGCGACGACGGAGAGGAAGCAGCAGCGGGTGGTTGGCATGGTGACGGTGGACGAAGAGCTAGGAGGGAACGAAGGGGGGGAGGACATGGTCTATCCCATGTGATTTGTGGTTGTGACGTCTCTCTTTTAACAGCAGTTTTATTGTTAGTTTGTCGTTTTTGGTACCCCGTACAGTACTCCTTATGCAGAGCGAACGGATGACTTTTCCCTACGTTGGTGTGGTATGTGTTGCGAGTTTTTTCAGACTGGCAGGGGGAGCTAGAGAGGATAAGGATAGGGGACAAACGAAAACAGCACTTGCGGTTCTCCCGTTTGGGAGCAACCAGCAGCAGCAATGCCTACGGTGTGTAGATGTGTTCCGAAGCCCAACCAGCAGCAGTAATTCCTACGGTGTGTATCTTTGCTTACGACGTTACGACGTCGTCATCCTTCCCGCACCTTTCCCAAATTCCATGCGCTACGTCATCCTTGTTCGAAAACCCGTACATGACACGTTGTTTGACTCCTTTTGTTGTTCGATGACTTCCAGCACCTTTCCCAAATACAACGGGCTACGCTACCCTGGTTCGAAAACCCTACATACATGTTGTTTGACTCTCTTTGTTATTCTATGCAGGAGCATAGTAGTTGTGCGGACGGGGGGAGGAGTGGGACGAGGTCCGAAAGTTTCTGGCTTGGGGGGGGGGGTACCTCTCCGTCGTGTTGTGGAAGGGCGAAGTTTTTGCCCGACGAGTTTGATTAGTGTCTGGCTGCCTCGAACGAGAGAGGCACGTCGGGTGGGGGTGAAATCCACTCTTTTTTAATTTCTTGGTGTGTGGTATTGTTCTTCTGAAACCCATGCAAACAAGCACCCGTTGCGGGAGCTCAGTATTTTAGCGTTGGAATGTACGGTTGTGATATGGCAAGCGCTGACTGTCGTCGGATTCGACGGACATGTTCGTGCATGTTGCGCATGTCGCGTGAGCTAAGTAGAGAGACATGGTATTCTTCTCTTCCTTGGAGCATAGTAGAATACGAAGTATATATATTGTTCAGTCCTTGTTTGATGGGTGGGTGTTTTCATGCACATTTCGGTCATTTACACGCAAGACACGTGCGTGCTTCCATTCTGCCGTGTATTGTTTTTTATTTCAAGGATGGAGGCTTTTTTTTTCCTTCTTGTCGCTGTCAGGCGTCACGCAATGGATGGCAGGCATACAGCAATCATCCACTTTCCAGGGTCCTGGATTTTGTCATCTTTGTACTGTCGAGTATCATGGTTATTGTTGCATGTGTCCTGTCTTCTCTTGCGTGCAATGTACAGCAGTAGGCGTCACGAACGGCCGGCGCCTGAAATTCAGGGTTTGTCGTTGTCATGACGCGCCGTTTCCTCCTCCTGCAGGAACTGCTTCCTTTTCGTCCTCCCTTGTGGGTTGTTTCATGTTGAGTGGTCTCGTCGTGGGTCTATTCCGCAGATACATTTAGCTTTGACTCTCTTTGTCTCGTTGTCTGTTGTTGAAACCAAACTGTTACATATCACCTTGTTGCGGCGACAAACAGGCTGTGTCGCGTCAGGTGCACAAGGATGTTTCACGTCGTCTTTGTAGAGTTGTGTCGCTCGCGTGCTGTGTGAGTCATGTTTCTAAAAAAGTGGTGAGGTCGTGCCCGGTTTGGTCGTCTCATTTCTGAACTCGAGGTGTGGATACATGTGGATTTGGGGGCGGAAGCAGAGTCTGTTGGGGCCTGAAAGTTGGGTTTTGATACCACGTTTGTCCATGTCACACATATGTGTGGAACGCCTTGTATTGTCTTGTATCTTATGCGTATGGGAAGCCGTTCCTGTCGTAGCTTAGCCTCTTGCCCCTACGCGAACGTTGCTAAATTGTCACACATGTGTTGTTTCGAGTCTTGTGCATATCCTATGCATATAATTTCTCTTCCTGGCTTAGCCGAGCCTGTCTAGCGTAACCTCTGTGACCACAGGTGACCTCGTGAATCGCTATATAATTGATGGGAAGAATGGACCTTTATCCTGAGCACCGTGTGTGGAAGTATCTACTCTTCCGTTGGTGAGTCAGGGTCCGACTCAGGCACAGGAACAGGCTCAGGCTCAGGCTCAGACTCAGGCTCAGGCTCAAAAGAATTGCATTACACGCGACCACGTGATTCTCTTCATGCTGTGTTTTCACCGCTGTACCCTCCACCGCGGTAACGTCGTCGCACACAAACATATGGACCCGTATGCTACTGTTGGCGCGATCCGTCTGGCGAAAATGCGGCAGCGTGTGTCAAATAGTTACCGCGCTACCACACCTCAAACCAAACCATTAAATCTCGTTCTTTTGCCTGTGCCCGGTTGTTGTGATCCAAACGTCCGCGCCGCGCCCATGTCAGCCATCGATCTATTCTGTTCTACTGCTGCAGGACCGCCGACATGCGTCCCCGGCTGATTCTTCAACCAACATATCCACCACACCTCACAAGATTCCGCACGAGCAAGCCATGGAAGGAAGTACACGATGGGAATCTTGGACTGCTGGGTGTCCGTTACCGTGCTACGAAACTGCTGTCGCTACCTCTTCGCCCGAAGCCCTGCCCCACCCTCTCACCCGAAGCCTAAGGAAACATTGGCGACCACAAGGCCGCTACGGAAAACAACACGGAAAACAGGCACCATCCCAATCAAACACCACGACCAAGGTCCGCCCGTGCAGGAACTGTCTCTGTTCCGCCCACTCCTCCCGCGCGATATCGCCCCTGTCCCCTCGCAAAAACACGCTCGTTGCACTCGGAAAGCACTTTTATCAAGGTCGATCTGTTAAGCACCCAAGGATGGGTTTCGGCCCAACGGAGGCGGACCGTCGAAGTATTTAGTCGCCATCGCCAGGCCCGGCTCGGGCACTATCGTCGCCCCCCCCGTCCCCGCGCCAAAACCACCGCCACGGCGGCCACGGCCGCACCGGCCACCGTCAAGGCCGAAGCAGCGGCCACGATGGTCCACTTGTCCACTAGTACTTTGACCTTTTCGTGCAGACGGGTCGGGTACGAAGGATAGGATGATGACGCGGCGGCACACAGGTGTTTCAGGTTGTAGCCGAGAGGCACTTACTATGTCATCTTGCCCGTACCACGTGTAGATTTGCCGGTAAATTTTTCGGCTAAAGAGAAACTGGTACGTGGGCGTAGATGCGTAGATGGTGGAAGGGGTGCTTCGAACCGTGACATGAGTCGTGATCATTGGAGAGGCATGAAGCACCCACTGGATCGTGACACGAGACCCTTGGATTTATTGCACATCCAAGCGCAATAGGTCCTCTTATCAATCCAACGCACCAGGCCCCCAAGAGGGGATGAAAACGCTATTGAAAAACAAAAGCGAGCTACTACTTTTTTTTTAAACTTACATAACTTTCTCTAAATGTTGTCTCTCTTTTCCTCACTTTTTCTTACCCCCGGCCACACTAGAACAACCGGTTCGTTCTGCTCAAGAGACTGGCATAGCTTCGATGACAAGCCGCCTGTGTAGCTCGATCTAATTGATCGATCCCAAACAAACAAGACGCACACGAAAAAAACAAAATGGAATCACGCCCACCTGGTAGTCTTTGAGCGAGCGGTAGCCGAAGCGCTCGTAGTACCGGCGAACACCAACGCCCGAGATGACTGCCATCTGTCCGCAGGGCGAAGACAAACAGAAACAAGATTGAGGGGCGCGCGCGCACGCGCGACAGAGAGAAAGAGAGAGACAGAGAGGAAGAGAGGGAGCATGACAATCGAACAAAATAATGGTTCGGTCCTGGCGAAACGAAGCACTAAAGCAAGAAAAGGCTGGCTTAGAATACCAAAGACTGCCTACATGATATGTCTCTTAATAATATGATGGCAGCGTAGCCATGCTGTCAACAAGCCTGACCTTGATGTAGCCATGCTGTCGAGCGATCTTCTCGGCCCTAGCCAGGAGCTGCGTGCCCAGGCCCTGGTGCTGTGTCTCTCCGCCCTCTCCCACCTAGTGAAAAATAACGCAACATAAAAAAAAAAAAGTTGACACAAAAACACAAGGCATCACTCGTCGTGTTCGTCGATCCAAAATCCCGCCGCGGAGAGCTACATAAAAAATAAATACTTCACACAAAAAAAACTCGGTGAGAAGATAGGTAGATGCTTGCCAACACGCTTGCCAACACGGGAACCTTAACATGATCAAATGGTCGTGGCTGAGGACATGACAACACGAACATGCCCCCTGGGAATCGAAACAACAAACAGCGATAGCACCCACTTTTTCCCCTTGGGGCGTACTTTCATGTTTTGCGTGCCTTAGCGGTTATAGACCATTGACCACGCGTCCTCGAGAGGACGGAGCATTGTTCCTACTTTTTTCCCCTGGGGGGAGACTCAACTAAATTGACCGCGCAACCACAGACACAATCCGTTTTGTCTTGTCCGGATGTCTCAACCCGCAAGAGGACGAATGGAAAACCTGTAAAGACGAACAATATGCGTCGTGCCTCGCGCGCACACACGAGTACAACGCCTTGAGCGTGAACTGTGTCACCTCCCCCCCACAAGCCCTCACTCGCCACCGGCCAACACGACGAGCACACGACGAGCACACGACTCAACACACAAAAAAAACACCACAACTCTACCACAACGCGCGGCGGGCGGGTATCATGGCAACAACTGAGAGCAGGAGGACCGGTCTGCTGTACAGCAGTAATTTACCTTCTTGAGCTTGCCGTAGACGTGCAACTCCCGGATCAAGGCACAGCCCTTCAGGTCGGGAAGGATGGGACTCGTCCCGCTGGGGATACGTAGCCTCAGGAACCCGTACAGCGTCTGGTCCATTTCCGCGTGGAGGGAGGCGTCCACACGGCGCCGGTAGCAGCCGGCAGTCGTCGAGGAGGAGACAGAAGGAGGGAAGGGTGAGGGCGAGGCGGCGGCGGCAGGGGAAGGCAAGTAATCGGCCTCACGGAGAAGGAAATGCTACGGGAGTCTGGGTGCGATCGTTCTGTGCGCTTGTGCGCGGTTGTTGTCTGCTCAAAGGTCCGCCAACACAACAGCAGTGGGTCACGGTGAAGCCAATAAATTGGTTGCTGGTGACGAATCATCGCCGCGGATGATGAGCATTGCATTGCCCGTTGTCACACTTAAACATCGTCATGCGTAGAGATGAAAAAGTGGTGCCGGCCACGAAACACCGTCGGTTGTTGATTGACTCCACGCTACCGAACATGACTCAGAAAATTGCGAGAGGCGTGTTTCATTTATTCCACCGGAGCACCACCAACGAAAGACAGGATTCAGCTAGACGTGTGTCAAGCCTACAAGCACGACAGGCAGCAGTGTAGCTTCCCCCAGCCCATCTATTCTCGGCGCCAGCCTAAACCGGTCGGTGCATGCGGTTGACGTCCCAGCCGGGGGCCACACAGGAGTGAGGTGGTACAGAAGGAGTACTATTTACCATGGATCACGATGCGGTTACACAACGAGCAGCGTTCAACGGGACCAGAGAGTGCGGTGCATCGGTTGGCCGACCGCTGTCTGGTGGCCTGCCTGTCTGCTTGCTCAACGCTCAGGCTCACCTCCTCTGGAGACTCCGAGCTGATGAAGTACTCGGTACCCCCTGACGCCTTGTACCTTCCCATGTCCCGATGAACGATGGCGGGGAGAGAGGGAGAGAGGGAGAGAGGGAGAGAGCAGGTTGGAGATAGAGAGCGAGTGGGTGAGAGAGTGTGTGGGAGAGGGGGGGGGGGGCGCGAGAGAGAGAGAGAGAGAAAGAGAGAGACACAGACAGACAGAGAGACAGACAGGCAAGAGATAGAGAGAGAGCGAGAGACAGACAGAGAGAGAAGCTCCGTTCAACCACAAGAGGCCTCTCCCTGACTCGAAACATCCCCCCTCTACCAAAATCCCCGCTTACAAGCGACTGGTCCGTTCCTTCAAATACCAAAACTTCATCGCCGAGGAAGGAGGAGCACACACAGAGCGACAACATCACGCCACACAAACAACGCGCCAAGGATTTGCGTCCGTCTCACTTTCTGACTACGAGCGCGGCGTCCTTGAACTCCTGGCCCTTCACCTCGCGGCACCGCATACACCGGCACCTGAGCCCTCGCTTCGACAGGGTCTGGAGGAGAATCTTCTCTCGCACGAGCAAATGAGACAAACCGAAAAACCATGTACCATACTTTAGCAAATGAGACAAACCGGAAAATGTTGTATTAGGGAAACGAACTGACCAGTGTCCGACTTGTTGAACCTTTTGACGTTTCGCAACACGATTCACGAGGGCAAATCTGTACGCATACATGCACGATACGGCGCGCGAAAGACAACCGTCGGACTCTGATCATGCTCTTGTTCCGGGGGTGGGATGCAGCGTGTCACAGGTCTCAAAGGTCCCCTCTCACCCGACACGGCCACAGCCACCTCCAACAGACCCACCACAATCGCTACAAAACCCACGTGCGAAGAAAATAAGAGGATAGTACTTAAGCTGGCGCACGTTGCTGGTGGGAAACTGCAGAGAGTGAGGCAGACACCTCTCTTCAAGACGATCTCAACCAAAACAACCTTGTTGACGGTGCCGTCTTAGAGGGCGAGACAAACCTACTTACCTAACGGCACAGCATAAACAGGCACATTTTGTTTATTGCAAGAAACGCTTTGTTCATATTATTTTTCCTCGCACATGTTGGCCGCCGAGCAACCACCGGTAATGTAGTCCGAACATACACAGAAATCGGTCGGTTTTTAATGTACAACACACGTTATTGTTTATTACGATTACCTGACGCATGTTGGTCGCCGAGCAACGCCCAGTGACGTACAGGGTCGGGATGTCCGAACATAAACAGGTCGCTTACTTGTACGACACATCTTTAAAATAATCACCTGGCGCATGTTGGTCACCGAGCAGCCCCCCGTGATGTACTGGTTCGGGATGTCCCGGATAACCCGGTTGAGCCGGATCCACGGGTGCACCCTGACCTTCACGGAAAGGATTAGCTCGAACAGCTGGTCCTCCGGGTAAGGGTTGTAGCTGCCCTCGCGATGCCACTTGTCGATCACCGTCCACGGCACGATGCTGCACGGGTAGATCTGCTCTCGATTACGACGGCGGAACCGCAATAAGCGTTAGCGGGACACATGTTCTAGAAGCTTCACAGTCCCCCCTCATTCATTTTCGTACGCCCGCTGCTATGCTGCTTGCGCAGGACACATCTCCAAGGAGCTAGGAGCTATAAGTCAGCTGAAGAGGATATTGCTACTCGAAAATCAGTTCACCGGTGTGAAAAATGTGTCAACGTGATTATTTCTATTGTCGGTTTCCAAACAAAAAATACAGGTACCCAAACGTACACCGCTATGATACGTAAACCTACACACGACGTGCGTAGATACCTTCCACTGGTCCGCCTGCAAATCGGGGTCCCCGAGCACCTTGTCGAACATCTCCACGTCTCCCTCGACCGTAGACCCCGGAAGGTTTGGCATGAGGTGAATGTCCACCTTCGTCGTAACGACATAAAAAAAATCATTGTTGACATCATGTTTTCAACGGCATTAGAATATCATTGCTGACATCATTGCTGGTATCAGCAAAGCTACGGCAATGGTCGCCTCCACATCCTGTGTGGAAGTGGGAGCTTCTCGTTTTGCGTCAGGAACGCCATGCGAAGAATGATTAAATGTAGGCGTGCGTGCCGCAAGGAATTGACGTTGTCAAAATCCAGTGGTTTCGGTTTGCCACATAAAAAAAAGAGGATGAAGCAGCCAGACCTTTCGTTTTGACGAAACATGAGAGGGGCAGCAACAGGGTCACCACTATCCAAGTAACGTGACCTCGTCGTGCCGAGTCCACTCCTTCGTAGATGGACTTACAGGCCGCTCTTGCGGCGTGCTACTTCAACCAACCACACCCCATGATTACGGCATAGTCTCAGTTGTTTCCTTCACACCAATACCCGGTTAGCGCGAGACAACCGCTGCGGGTCGTTCCGCCCCTCTTTCCAACCTTAACCTTCAGTACCACCACAGCGGGGCGGACCGAGGTAGAGGGTCGGGCCAGATTGCCGCCAGACAATGTCAGTAAGTAGGCTTCGCAGGGCTTTTCGTAGTATGTATTATGAACATTTTGGATAAATCATGCAATCGGGGAAGTTGGGTTAGGGTTAGGGTTAGGGTTAGGGATTGGGTCTGCGTCCTCCCTTCCTGTTCTATTTCCTCGTATACTTGCTAATCGCTTGAAGGCGGTCCGATAATGTTGACGGTAGAACTTGAAGACAGACGCACGCGGCGAGGGCGTTTGTGGGTGCCTCTCATGTCGCCTCTGATGTTCCCATGCATGGTTACTCGCCTCGCTACACCCTTACAAAATGATTCAAACGCTGCTGCTGCTGCTGCTGCTGCTGCTGCTGGATTTCTTCAATCTAGGGGAGTATGATGCCGACAAAGCAGCCTGCTTGCACGTCCTTGTACCCCTCTCCAGCCCCAAGAAAAGCGGCGACGTTGGAGCTGTTACTGGCGTGCCGCTGCTGAACCGACGCAAGCATACCTTGAAGCAGTTGTCCTTGAGTAACCGTAGACACCTCATGGTGGCTTCCACGTCGTGGCCGCGGTTGATCTTCTTCAAGATCGCGTTGTCCGTGTGCTGCACCCCGATCTGCGCAGAAAACGGCACAGGCCAGAAAGTAGGCAACGCTTGTAAGATATTCGCAGCCTGGATGATTTTTGACCGCTCCGCAAGAACGTCCCGCCGGCTTTGGCGGCACAGCGTCTTTCTAGTACAGTGGTAGAACGGCAGTCTCCCTGGGGTGGTGGTGGCCCTGACGGCATGATCGGGGTTGGACTCTTGTAAGGAGATAGGTCGATCTCGACACGCAAGGGTGAGAAACAACAAGACCATCCACATCACCGCCCTTGGTGCTCTTCAAGGAGCAACGACTACCCGTCAGGTGCGAGGCTTTCGGTTGGGGAGCACCGCCACGGTTATATCGGGTAGGCGCCAGGCGCCAGGCGCCAGGCCGAGTTGGCCCGCACCATCGCGGGTACACCCACCCGCACGCCGAGATATAGGGACGTGCATCACAACAACTCAGTGACATGTACTGTACCTACCTGCAGCCGCGTGCAACCGTAGCTCCTTAGTCGGGCTATCTCGTCCAGGTCAATCACGTCCGGCCGGGTCTCCAACGTAAGGCCGATGACGCGTGTCGAGGCATCCTGGTGATTGATTGACGTTCACGACGGCGGCAGCGGCGGTGTAGCGGCGGCAAGCAGTGGTACAAAAAGGCGGCAAAGGCAGCAGCAGCAGCAGCAGCAGTGAGGCAGACTGCCAGAATCCGGTGTACGCCTTTTGTCCTACTCCTGTCCTTCTCGTTCTGAAGAGCACCGGTGTGCGAATGTGGACTTCACATGCCGCCAGGGCCTTAGCCTTAGCACCACCAAACACAACAAGACACGAACGGTTTCCTTTCGAGCGTGGGTTGTCCTACATCTGTGAAAAGAGACTACAGACCCAAGCACAAAAAAAAACATAAAAAACACACACAAGCGGTACAGGAACGACACCATTTGCCCCCTCAGCCGAGCAAACACCAATGCTTGATTCTTTCAGGATGAGCCAACCGAGCAATCTCAGCTCGCTGCTACCTGTCGAAAGAACTACATTATGTCTTCTTGCCCACAAGCAGTGGAGCTGGTACCCGCCCAAAATGGTGGCTGTCTGTGGCACCTATACCTCGTTGAGTTTGATCTCCTCCTCAAGCGTTAGCCTCTCCGGGCGCTCGTTGAAGGTCGTGTTCGCCGCGTAGAACAGATCTCGGCAAAACTCGCGCTGCAGACAAATCAGACAGACAGAAAGAAAGACGTACACACAGGAAAAAGAGACACCAGCACAATGAGCGTGTGGAAAAAAAAAACAAATCAGGGGTACAGCTATTGAAGAGCTCTCTGTTTATATCACATTCAGCCTGGTCTAAGGGACTACAAAGTACCAAATACACGGAAAAAAAATTAAGGTTACGTTTGGTCCTCCCGGCATGCAACATATCGACAAACAGCAGCAACAAGAAACACGTTAGGACCAAACCAACAACAGCGACAACGATGCCACAGCAACCGACGCTTGGCGGCGAGCGCGTCCGTCGTCCCATTCTAACCTGGTAGGATTTGGGGGTATTTACCTGGTAGGATTCGGGGTATTCAGACCACGTCCCGCCCAGCACCAGGATCTCGATCTTGTCGATGGGGTGACCGTTCGCGATGTAGGATGAAACACGGTCGCGAAACTGCAGAACGGCGTCAAAGCCTGCACACACAACATACACACACACACACAACACACAACACACAAGTGTTTTCATTGGTCAGCCGGTTAGCGCGGTCGATGCTAAGAGTAAACGCACACAGAACAGCAGCGGCGAGATTGGTTTGGACGGGTCCGGGGGGGGGTGGGGGGTTGTTCGATTGAGTGCGATATCGGGTTGGTGAGTTTGGCTTTCCGAAGGCGAGAATCTCCAGTCTTGTGTGGAGCGCTCTGCCGGTGGGTTTCCAACGGCGGCGGGGGGGGGGGGGGGGGGGGGACCCCAAATTTGGGGGGCCGGAATCTTTTTGCCTTTTGCCCCCCCCCCCCAAAAAAGGGGGGGGGGGACGCCCGGGTTTTTCCCGGGAAGGGGTTTTTTTTTCCAAAAGGGGAAACCCCCGGGGGATTTTTGGGGGCCCCCAAAAGGGGGGGCCCCCCCCCCGCAAGGGGGGTCGGCCCTTTTGGTTTTTTTTTTTTG